TCAGCTATTACAGCATAGGAACTAACATTGGTGCGACGATTCACATCGGTCATCTGGTCATTGCTCATCTTTTGCATAGATGTTAACCAATCGTATTTGTGTTGAAATAATGTCAGGAAAACTGTTCAGGACGACTCTGAAATAAAAAATACATAGAAAATGAAACTTTTTATGAACGAGATTGACAAGCGAGGCAGCAATTAGATTAATTACTCTAATACCAGTTAGGAGATACTGAAATATTGGTTTTTGGGTATCTTCAAGCTAGGCACAAGGTTCTTTCATTCCTTAGGCATATGTAACTAAAAAGAGACTAACTCTCGTGTCGTATTGACTGTAGAACTAAAAACGGTCTGTGAATGGTATCGAGTCCAATTTATAGTTTAACTTTCCGATCCGAGGCGAACTTTACGCCCAACACTTTCCGATAGCGGTGTTGTTTTTAAGGGTGCACGACGCTCGTCTCTATTTAAGGCCTTTGCCAGGTCCGACCTGCCATCATCAATACGTTGCAGTTATTTTTTACATTGTGTTTCATAACGTTTCGCCGTGTCATTAGATAATGCTAAGAGATATGGCCCAACAATAAGAGACTCCTACATATGTGTCACGATTGGCTTTCCTTATGCTTGATTTCAACATCTTGTCACAGTAGCAGGTCAAAAAATGATGCCACACTTCGCATTGTCACAATACCGGATGACGACAAGCCCAATATACAAAATCTTGCAACAGAATCTGTCGATGCTCCACAAATCGTTATTTGTAACGTTTACAAATTATGAGTGAAAATGAGGCAAAATCTCTCCAACAAAAGATGGTATACCAATACCAATCAAAATCCATGTATCGTCTTGAACCTCCAACATAATTATTTTTAAATTGCATTTTTATCAATCTAAAACATAATTTCTTATATTAAATATTAGTTAACTAACTATATTTGTTAACTTTTTAAAGTTATTAATCAATAATTTACTCACCTGAATTGGTTTTATTCTAGGAGTGCAACTTTTCTGCAATGCTGCAAATTTTCTGTAACAATAAAAGTTTTGGTTATAAAAACAAAACACATACCACAATGCGTACCTTATTGATCGGTTTTTTGTTTTTATAAAGTAAAACAAATTAATTTTACAATATAAATATAATTAATTTTACAACATATTTATAAAAAGAAGAACTCAGCTCTCTAAAAGCCAAATTTGTAGCAGAGATGAAGGAATGCTCAACTCTCTCAACTATTGAATGTTCAAACACCAGCTATTTTAAAATATCACAAAATCACAAAAAAAGGATTTAAATAGTTCCTCCATGTGTTGATCGGATATATATATAATAATTTTAATCTTAATAAATGTTGGGTGTTTTAGTTTAAATGCCCAACAATTTTTATATTGACTTTTCTGGCTACAACGCAAAATGTTATAAAAGACGCTAATTTTGAAGCGCTCTCACACTGCAATAAGCGTCCCTTTATCCCTGTTTTTAGTGAAATTACGCTTTTTTTATTCTTCTTGAGTAGTAAATTGTATATTCG